AACTTCCCCAGGTAAATTATCCTGATTATTCACTACATACTAATATATAATATTTTCGATACACCGTCGATCTAATTCAGATTACGTGAAGTCCATTACATGTACGTTTACTCTACTAAAAGTGCTGTTCTATAAATAATACAGACTACCTATCGTGCACACTACTCATCATGGATACTTAATGTATTATCTCGTGTATTCATTAATTGCAAGCTATCTATATGATAGCATATATATGCCTAACTACAAATAATAATACTCTGGTTGGTGGACGGGAGATACTCATTATATACCATAGCTGTCCCTATATTACCTTACTTCTTACTTCCTATATACGCTACTAATGTATTACCAACGGTGTATAATACGCGCCTTAATAGTCAAATCTAATGATATTCAGTAGTTTGGTTTTATATATAATATTAGATAACCACCTACAGTTAATGATATTACATGCGCTGGTGCATAAGCGTTATAGCTATCTAGATCTCTGCGAGTATACATATTATTACATGAGAGAGCTAAGTTCCCTCCAAGTCCAGTCTAACTCATATACATGTTAATTCTGGGATCTCTCCAGATCCGTATTCCATCACATCAGTTCTATAATACAGCTCTCATACGTGATCTCTTCACTCTTACAATCTCATAATATCATATACAATGTAACTAGTTACACCGTCTCACTTTACATACCCGCCACGCCTATCTTAATATAAATGATATATATATTTACTTAATGATGAAAGATCATATCATATATTAATATATATATATATATATTATATATAATATATGGTATATTGTATATGTACTCATGGTACTCAATGCTGATTAAATCTCCCGCTACTTGACTGGCGTCCCACTAACAGCTACTAGCATCTGTGAGAAGCTTTAATAGCATATGACTATGTAGCAATAGCGCCTAACTGGACTGCCATTGACGTATACTAGCATAATAGATATGTGATAGTTAATATACGTTCAACCATATATTAATCATATATACTAATCGCTATGTGAGATACTACACTATATACTCATAATATATATAATATATAATATAAATAAATTAATAATATGGGTGTAGTTGTTCTGTTGATATGTGTCCGTAACTAGATATATCATTTATGACATATATTATGGCATAAATATATATATTTATACTGGTGTGATATACATCATACTTTCTAGGGTGAGAGACTATATATATTATAATACTTATATACTACACTTTATATATATTTGGTATAATATACCAATTATTTTATACTCAACTTCTACTCATTATAATTAGATACTGATCATCATAATATATACTTCTATCTCATATATCATATATCAATTACTTATCTAAGATAGGGTATATGAATAATTATTCCACACAAAAACATTAATATATAATAAATATAATTAATATATATATTATAATATATATATATATATATATAATTAATGAGTATCAATATATAAAATTAGATGTGTGTGTGATAGTGTGAGTGGTGTTGTGTGTGTGTGCTTGTGTGTGTGTGTGTGTGTGTAGTGGTGTGTGTGTTTGTGTGATATGTGTGTGTTGTGTGTGTGTATGTGTGATGTGTGTAGTCTATTTAATCCATATATATATATAACTAATAATGAACTTACTCTATATAAATATATATATATATATATTATATATATATATTATATATATGTGTTGAATGTGTGTGTGTGTGTGTGTTGTGTGTGATGTGTGTAGTGTGTTGTGTGTGTGTGTGTGTGCTGTTGTGATAGTGTGTGTGTGTGTGGTTGATTTGTGTTGATGCGTGTGTGTGTGTGTGATGTGTCGTGAGTGGTGCGTGTGTCAAATATTATGCAATATATAATAGTTGTCATAATTATCCATTAAAATATAATATTATAATATAATATATATATACATAATAATACTAATTATAATATCTGGGTGGATAGTGAGCTACATATCATATAATTGTATACATATTAGTATAGGTTATACTATATATATTATTATAATATTACCCTCATATTATAAGATACAGTATCGTTAATAATATCAGTATATAGTTGAGTATATACTATATATATAATACTTCTTACATGATATATATATACCACGAGTCTAATATATTTAATATATCTTATTACATAAATTTAATGTTCGCTAGTATATATATTATAATATAGATTATATTATTATATTACTACTATTATATTTAACTTATATATATTATATTTATATATAGTATATATATCATATTGATTATATGCATATATATGTATTTACACACACAACATCCACACAACACACAACACCATCACACATCAAACACACATATATATAGTGATACAAATCATGAATAATGTAATACTTAGTGATCAATATATAATGTATATATTATATATTAATTATATTATCATAATATCATACTCTAGTGTCAATTATGTATATAATTTACATAGTAACCTCTATCATATATAATATATATATATACTATCA